ACTAAATCCAACCGTTCAGAACCCAATAGAATCTCGGAATCCAAGTCTCACCACTCAGAGCCTCAGTTTCCCTTCTTCAGATAAACCCCATAGACTCAGGGTCCATCCCAACCAACCCCTTCTCAGAGCCGGTGGCACAACCTCTCTCTACCCCGCCCCCTAGCCGTCTAGTCCGGTGGTCTTTCCCCAGGCGAGCGGCACCTGCATCCGCTGAAACTCCTCCTCAGACAGAGCTTGCGCCATGTTCCTCCCCCCCGCCCCCCCAACAGCTTTCTGCGCAGACGCAGATCGTGTCTCCTGGCCTGTTTCGGGTCGGACCAAACCACTGACCAAGGATGGAGGGGGAAGAGCCTAACCCGGAAGTTCAGCATTTTAGAGATGGAGAGAAGAAAGAAAAATTAACAGGTCAGGTGAATTTTAATTTAATGTTTTACCAGACTCTAGGTCATATGACTCAGGTTTTGAGCTCGCATAGACTACCCATTGTGGTGCGACATTATGTAATCCCTGTCCGATGGATGGACTCATGGCTAGGAAAGTGTATGCCGACGGAAAATCACCCTTCTGCGGTACTCCTTTAATGAGAATGGTTGACTGAATAACCATAGAAATGAAAGCGGAAGCTTTGCATTGATCTCGTTCCGCCCTCCTCCTGCTGACCCCAAAGCGGAATCCCGCCCCTTTTGAAGCCTTTGAGTTTTCTTTTTCTTTCCTTTCGGAAAATTTAGCACTGACTTTATTAACATGAAGCTTTATATCTTGTTCCATAAAGGATGTAGCCACCAATAAATTTAAAATACCAGAGAGGAAAGAATGGCAGTGAAATGAAAAAGCTTCATTAAAAAAATCAAAATGGTGAAACAGTAGGAACTTCAAACAAGTGCTGAAACCTCCCTTAGGGTGCTTTCCTTCCCTCTTTGTAAACCCCGCCATCCAGGCAGTAAACTTTTATTTGGGAAAGAAAAAAAAAAAGCGCATTTATTGACAACATTTCAGTACTACGGTAACCCCTATTATCTTTATCTTTATTTGTGTGTGGTAGTTTAATTTTGACATTTCAGATGTACAGAAAAGTTGCCAAAATGCTGGAAAAAATAAAGTGTCTCTTTTGCCCAAATTAATCACTTGTTTATATTTTACCACCTTACCTTTATCATCCTATCTATAAAATATTTTGAAACATGGGCTTTAGCATCCATTGATGATTTTTTTAGCACAAACATTCCTTTGATATTTATGCATAGTGCCTAAGGCACTTGACTGCTAACCAGAAGGCTGGTGGTTCAA